CATTCTATCCAATATAAAATTTAATAATGTAACCAAACAGAATGTTTTCCCCTCAACGAAAGAATTTTTTCTTCCCTCACCGTAAGCAATCCCCTTTTTGTTGTTTCAGGGGAAGGCACCGTGTAAATGTACAATCTGCACCAATTTTTGTGCATTGCGTCTCTTGAAAATACTCTATACTTTGCTTGATCAGGCCTTGTTTTGTCACACGATTTCACAGTTTGATGGCTCAGAGATACTTTCATTCCCAAAAATTTGTGAAATTACATGTACAATAAATTAATATCCGAAAACTGTTCCTAGTATCTTGTGATATTTTGAGAGGAAAAGGCGAAACGTAGAAACATTATCCATTATATTTTTGAACTGTTGTCCCTAACAGGCCCTCAACACCGGAAGCCCTTGCAAATTGTTGGTATGTTGGCAAGGAAAATATCAATGGCGGATCGACGGAGGGAGGACTCTTGGGTTGGTGCGAGTTTTCTGTTCTGTCGGCATATATGGGATTGCTGATATCAACCGAGGTAAGAAAAACGAATAATTCCTCATTTGTTTCAATATTGTTTGCTTTAGGTTATGCTGATTGGCTTGAAAATATAAGTTATCCCTGTTTTGCCACTGCCGTTCGTTTCCCCCGAACAACTGAAGTGAAGAAACTATCAGAACACCGCGCACGCACACGGTGAAAACGGTGGGAAATGGTGGAAGCGTCTCCGACCTCTTGTTGATTAGGGTCAGTATTACTAACATTAATTGTCCAAAAATAATTTTAAAATGCTAAAATGAATGATAATAATCGCCTGAACGTATTTTTGTTGTGTTCACCTGTATAAAAAATGGTAGATCTAGATTTAGATCGACTAGACTCTATGTGTTGTTTGTGTTTATCTCGTATAGGATAGGCCCTTGTCATATTATAAGCAGTACTTAGCGTGTCCTGCATTAGTAACAAGACGGTTAAACAACTGTAGCCAGTTTCATTGGTTTCTTTCGAATTTTTGCTTTAGTTAAGGTAAGGTATACCTCTTACCCTTGCCAATTGTACCCTATAGTTTTGCCAGCTTTTTTGTTGCCCCCTCAAGTAGGAAAATATTAATGATAAATTAATGTTATAACGTACTATAGGCCTATACTATAATAATATGTTATAAGATATTGATTCAATACATTGGCACCGCTGGAAACTATCCAAACATTTATCCAATCCACGGTTGACAAAAAAATTAATTGAATTTTTAAAATGGGAGTGAAATTTCAAATATTGATATTTAGTAGATGTAGAGATCAAGATTGTGTAACTAAATTAGTGCTATTTTTCAGAAAAGGAGTAAAACGAAAGAAGAACAAAAAAAATTCACCAAAGGCAAGACAAGTTACAAGTTACAAAATTAAATGATCAAACAGTTTAGATCATCTCAATTATTATAATGTATACCCCCGCAGCCCCTATAGGTTGTAATTGTTGATCAAATACAGTAGACAGGCTTCGACGTTTTCTGAAGTAAATCTTTTTACAGTAGTATATTGAACGTCCATTATGAATTATGGCCTTGTTGCCTTTTGAAATAGATATGGTTAAATATTATTTGTCAAAATATGAGTGATACTGGTATACTATGTGTTAATTGATTGCATCCTTGATTTTTTCCGGCTCTGGACTGAATTATTTTCCCCTGTTCAGTTTTTTACCTGGGGTGTATCTATTTAATGCATTACTGTGAAGTTCTAAGTTACTCTAATATGTATTGTTATATACCAAACTGATCGGAATAAACAGAGGAATCTGATTATATCAATTACAATGACCTTCTGTTTGTATAGTATTTTCCGTCAGATAAAAACGAATGAGTAAAAAAAAAAATGCACAACACGTCTTCGAAAATTTCAACTTACCTCATTTTCTCAGCTCTACAAGTCCTTCTAATCCATAAGAATCAACACAAAATTGTAGCGATATCACCCAAGCACATATTTATGTGTGGGTGGTTGGTGGGTGCTCTGGTGTGGTTTGCTTCTTCTTTCCTATCAAACATCTATCGTTCTCATCGTTGAATATCTTTCACTGAAGGGCTTTTCTATTATACCTGGCTCCGTACTGATTACCCCTGCATAGCGACAACCAAACAACGACTTTTGCAAGAATTTCGAGGAGTTTTGATCGATTAAGGCGCTCAGAGATTGAGGTCAGACTTGTTTACTAGTTCTTCTTCTTTTCGACAACTTAAAAAGTAGGAACTATGTTAAAAAGTGCACTTTTGTTTAGGATTTCGCTCAAATTTCGTTGAGCTGCTCACAGTGGTTGAATGGCGACAGCGGAAAAACCCTGAGCTGCTGCTGTCAGCGGCCAAATGGACAGAATCTGTTAAGACTGTTACCTACAACTTCCTTCATACCATATGCCTTTTTAATTCCACTTAGTTAAAACAACTTATTTGTGCAGTTGGTTATGTGATGACTTTTCTCTAATATATAATCCTCTCTGATGTCCATATCATCGGCGGAGAATTCTAACCGTCCAACTCTGATTTGGTAAATTTTGCAGGAGAGACAAAAAACTGAATTCAAAGGCTCTTGTTGGGATTTACTATTTTTAAATGCGCTAGACTGGAATACATGACTCTACTTTTAAGTATTTATAACAAAATTGCCGAAATTGTATTATTTTAAGTCCTAAACCAGAGTTATACGGATAGACTGCTCAGTTTTGGATTTCTAAGCGTCCAAGTGTCGATGAACGAATTGTTCGTTTAGAATTTTCCAACCCGGCGGGGACGCCACGCGCTTTGTTACGTCTAACTCAGTCATCGTGACATGTTAGTGTTACCGAACAACTCGAAATGACTACACCTGCAGTCAATCCAATAGGAAACCTACTATAAAAGTTCTAATTAGTACTACATAGTACTGTAGATCTA